CACCACCACCACCAGCACCACCACCGCCGCTACCTAATGCCACGACGACGACAGCGAATACATCTGCAACCACAACGACGGCGATGACGAATGCTTTGCGACGTGCACTTGTGCTGCTCTCGGAGGGTCATGGTAAGTAAGATGCAGGACCGGGAATCTGAGAATTTGCGACTTCTCACGTGAGCATGCATGCCTTTCTTGCACAGGCCCACATCCATGGATCCTGAGCCCTGCGCCCTTAACCTTGCAGTTCAAGCAGTACAGCCCAAATCCCCAACCATTCTACATTAGAAAATAAGGCCGAAATCCGTAGACCTGCACACCTTCAGTTTTTGTCTCAGAGTTTCAGCCAGGCAGGAGCTACGTGCCTACCGGATCACGAATCGAGGCAGGTTTCCTGCTTGGAGTTTGACTTCAGGTGCGGGGGAATGTTATGGCGGGTTTGGCTTTAGATGATTTTTGTTTTGAGGTCATGGGTTTGATTTCCTGCGGGCGTCTCAAATTCGGAGGGGCGGTGCACGACTTGTAATTAGTCTGTAGTCAGGTGGATGGACAGTGTAGAACTATGTATGGGGTCTCTAAGACTCTAAGATTCGTGCTAGTCAAGAATATCGACCTCTTTACATCCTACCCTTCGCAGAGTCCTACCACCTGCAATTCCGCGCCACTCATCGTTGCAACACAGACCAGCAAGCGTCTGAATCGACAGCGCGGTGGCGCGGTGTTCTCATAGGTGTCTCTTGGGAGTGATCCCTGGGAGCCGGGAAACTAGTTAGAGTATCCCATGCACTATATACATTCCCCCAAAGCCAAGACTCCTATAGTAGGCAGACGTGTCGGTGCTGGACTACGACTCGGGATCGGCCGCAGTACTAGCGGCCACACCTTTACCCACCTGTGCAGAGGATATAAAGCTCGTTTACGAAAGCAACAACACGGCCAGGCCGAAGATGTCCTTGTTTCCTCCCTCTGACCGTATATAATTCGCTTTAGCAGAAAAGTACATGTATGTAAGTGCCTCATTGGCAAGTTCGTCCGGCCCTAGAGCAACATGGTCCAGCAAGTCAAGTCCTCAGACTACCACCCAAGAGCTCATTGAAAAGTTGGCACCTGAAGATGCCAACCCTGGCATACACGAGCGGATGTCAGACATGACACCTCAGCCCTTAACTCTAACCCCGAACCCCCAGAACCTGCGATCCCTGAACGACGGGTAATTTTCTGCAACCTGCGAGCACTTTGGGCACGTTCTAAATAGAGGTGAGTCATGCCAAACTGCTCATGAATTTGGAAATGTGATTAATCCTGCGGCTCGACGAATGGCAGTTGATTCTCTGGCTGAATCTGCTAAGTACCCATTCAGCAATTGCTTGCAGGCGGAATCCGGATCCAATCACCAGTTGTGGGGCAAGACACCTGAAGCCCCCAACACCCTTCGTCTACTGTACACGACAGGAAGCTTTCTCAGCAACTACTGCCACAACTGTGTGCTGCTGATAACCGTAGCAGAACGAGGGATTTCTGCGCATTTCCCCTCCACCGGCGGGCAACTGTGTCAGTACTATGCCATGACTGTTGTCACCACTATTGATATACTAGTCTCTCTGCTTCGGCGTAAGCCATGACGGCGACAATGGCCGACGAGCCCACCGCCTTTGCAGAAGGGGAGGAGCCGGATGCGCCTCAGAACAATAGCCGAATAGCCTTGCTTGAAGCCCCAGGGACGGTCAAATTTGGTGGGGCAGGCTGCGGGTTGCTAAAACCCTGAACCGACTACGCACTTCGGCAATGGTTGCTTGCCTTCTAGTAGTGGTGGAAGTAGTAGTAGTAGTAGTAGTAGTAGTAGTAGCAGCAGTACGTTAGCAGTACGGTGGCAGTACCAGTTCCAATACCAGCACCAGCACCAGTGAATCTGGCATTGGTACTGATATCCATTCATGAGACGCAGCTCAGCGTAATATAGTCTACTATCCAGTCGATAGGGCACTTCATTGCTCGGCGCTTGATTTCCAGAGAGCTTACGAGATGGGTTCGAAGATCCCTGCCAAGTATTATCAGCTCAGGGTTCAGAGTTTGGGCTTTATTTCACAGGCAAGTACACCAAGCCTCAGGCA